AGAACAGCCCTGGCTGGCTGGCGAGTATCTGCCAGTGGCCCACGGTCCTTCTGTGTTGTTGGAGCAGTGTCCTGCCTCACTGATTATCTTCTCCTTGCACCCCTGATCCAGGACAGGGAAGGGGTGAGGAGTGGAGTCTGTGGCATGGGAGGTTGGTTTCGCAGAGTATTCAAACTCCAAGATGCTCACAGGCCTTCCATTTCAAAAATACACTGACATTTCCTGACAGTGAGACTTGTTGGGTGCTGCTCCAAGTGTGGAGGTATCTCCCTGCTCCGGTCAAACCCTTCAGTTTTCCTTCTTTATAGGGACTTCAGGTTCATTCCTTACTACCTGCACTCATTTTTGGAAATGGCCCCTCCACGGGCTCAGTGAGGGATCAGAGGGGTGACAGGAGCCCTCGGCAGCAGCGATGTCCTGCCCAGGCAGGGCAGGCCCCGCAGCTCTGCCCCCCCAACACTTCCCATGCTGGGCATCCACCTTTGGCTGTCCCGTCATGTGCTCTGGGGAGGGAATGACAAGCCCTCGACAAGCGGGCGGGAGCGCTGCTCATCACAGCTCATCTCCAGCACCGCCGGTGCCCCGGGAGCAGCGGAGCCGAGCGCTGCCGAGTCCTTCATTCGCGGTGGCTCCGCCAAAACGGTGAGGAAGGAGCTCTCCCCGGGCTCGGGCTTTCCCTTTGGAGCTCTCCCCGGGCTCGGGCTTTCCCTTTGGAGCTCTCCCCGGGCTCGGGCTTTCCCTTTGGAGCTCTCCCCGGGCTCGGGCTTTCCCTTTGGAGCTCTCCCCGGGCTCGGGCTTTCCCTTTGGAGCTCTCCCCGGGCTCGGGCTTTCCCTTTGGAGCTCTCCCCGGGCTCGGGCTTTCCCTTTGGAGCTCTCCCCGGGCTCGGGCTTTCCCTTTGGAGCTCTCCCCGGGCTCGGGCTTTCCCTTTGGAGCTCTCCCCGGGCTCGGGCTTTCCCTCTCCAGCTCCCTCGGTGCCCGCAGGTGACTCACCCAGGCGGGCAGTGCTCAGTGCCAGCCGGCCTTACCTGCCGGGCTGATGGAGCCACTCGTTAGGGAGATGAGCCGGTCTCCTTCCCTCGGCCCCAGCCACTTTCACTGTCTGGCCTGATGAAAGGGCAGAGCCACGGCCTGAACACCTCCCGTCCCTCCACCAGCCCCCCCGGGCAAAACAACCCCCCTTTGCTCGGGCGAGGACGGACACACCTGCAGCGTCTCAGAGATTTTGTCTGCCAGAGCCAAAGTGGTTCCTGCTGCCCTGCCTTTCGGGCCAAATGCAGATGGAGAGGACTCAGGGAGCCCGGAAAAGCAGCTGGAAAAGCAAGTGGAGGAGTAGGTTGTATTCTTTTGAGGGATAAACAGAGATAAATGAGACGCTTTGAATTTTTGCATAGGGGAAATACGCGAGGAGGCAACAAATGGAGTGTGACCTGAAATTGCTCCCAGAAAGCGAAGGACAGACTTCAGATTTTAAACGAAAACAAGGAAGTCTCATATCAGCAGTGCCCCAGGAAGCCATGCTAAGCTTGGGTGGAATAACTAAGGAGCCATGACAGGCTTGTAAGCCTCTTCTGGGCAAGACAGGCTTGTAAGCACAGTAACAGCTCAGAGGACACATCAATTGGTTGTTCACTTGGGAACCAGCCCTTTCTGTCTTTATATTGGTGATTTCTGAAGAGTTACAGGAATTCATCTGTGTGGAGGGTAGAGGTGCAGCTCATATTATATATTGCCTTTCATTCCTTCTGGTCAGGAACAAGTTATTTGCTCCTCAGATAAAAACTGAGGTATAAAACTCTCTTCCACCCTGCTTCTTCCAGTGGCAATGATAAAAATTCCACTGGCTGAGGCTGGGGAAGGGTAGGACCTAAGAAATTCTGGAATCCCAGTTCTCAGTGTAAGGAGAAGCTACATTTAACGGGGTAAAAAAAGTAACAGCTGAAGATGTGCAAGGAGGATGTCATATGTCACAAAGAGGAAGAAAGAGATCATAGAGAATCATAGAAGGGTTTGGGTTTGAAGGGACCTTAAGGATCACCCAATTCCCACCCCCTGCCATGGGCAGGGACACCTTCCACTAGCCCAGGTTGCTCCAAGCCCTGTCCATCCTGGCCTTGCACACTTCCAGGGATCCAGGGGCAGCCACAGCTTCTCTGGGCACCCTGTGCCAGGGCCTGCCCACCCTCACAGGCAAGGATTTCTTCCGTACATCTCACCTAAATTTCCTGTCTTCCAGTTGGAGCCCTTTGCTCCTCGTCCAGTCACTACAGGTCCTGGTGAAGAGTCCCTCTCTGAAATGGGGATGAGAGAACCAGAAGAAGCTGCTCTCAGCTGGCAGTGTGGGTGGGAGAGCAGTGACACCTGGACTGCTATGTGCTCTACAAACATATAGAGCATCAGAACTAGATGGTCTTTAAGGTCCCTCCCAACTCAAACCATCTCATGATTTACTTGGTTTCAATGGAGGGAAACCCCCCAGCTGTTGGGCTGCTGGTAGCCCATTCCCAGGGTCACAGAGCCAGGTTTGGTAAAGCCAGAAGCCCCTTGTGCAACGCCAGAGGGATGTTTGGATTAAGGTGGACAGCTGCTGCTGCAACACACAGTTTACAAGGGACACACCTATGGCATGAAGGGTGTATCATGTCCCTGTGCTGGGTTATGATACCCAGGTGTGCCAGGCTGGGATTTTTGTCCTTAACCCACCGAAGGACCTCTCCTGTGTGACGCTGTGCAGTGAAGGCCTGGCTTGGGGCTCTCAGGCTTTTCTTTTGGGGAATAAATTCCGGGCTTGGAATTTAGGAGAAAAGAGTCAGTTCTTTTTGAAGCCAAAAGCAGGTCAGCCCTGTGCTCAGACGTTCTCCCTGACACGGCACCGATGGAACCCACTTCTTTTTGTTGTACCAGTGTGTTGTAACCCACCACTTTTTGCTGCATTAGTGTGTTGTAACCCACTAGTTTCTGCTGTAGCACTGTGTTATAACCCAATAGTTTTTGTTGCATTAATACATCTACTCTACAGACCCAGGAATTACCATCCTGCAGTAGAACCAGGGTCTAACACATCTTGGAGACTTGACAGAAAGTCTCAGAGAAGAAGAGAGGTGGATTTCCCAAGGAGAGAGGGGGATCTTTAAGCCTCTGATGTTCAGGGTAGGCTGGGACAGCCCTGACATTCAAACCATCACCCAACCCTCCCAAAGAAAGCCATTAGGATGCTATTTTATCTCAGAGCTTAAAAATAGCACATGGTCTAAGCAGTTATAGATATGCCTTTCATCAGGACACGGGATTTCCCCGCTCCCTTCCCGGCTCTGGCCCTGCAAATGTACCCACGCTCAGAGGGTTGGGAGGACGAGGGTGGGCAGAAGCTGCAACACAACCTGGATGGGGTGTGGGCCCTTCCACGCCTGATGCAAAGGGTGTTTCCTCCCTCCAGTGACCAGACATGGGACACACCTATTTTTGTTTTAGTCACCACGCTTTGATTTTCTTATCTAGCAGGCCGATGTATCACGGATTTTCATGGGATTTAGTAGCTCTGGAGCTCCCTCCGGGCAGATGGGT